AAAGGGAGACACTAGTTGCGCCGCTCTCACGGCCAACAAACAGCACAGACATTATAGGGAACAGTGAATTTGTGCAGTCAGGATGCGTTTGTTAGTTTCTAAGAATAAACACATTTTCATACCTTCGACTGTTTTGGCTTTGATGGTGAACAATTTGCATAAAATGTCCTGAAAAAAACCCAAAACAAGTACATATACTTTAAAGAGGACATGGAATTAAAATAGATTACATGGCATTAGAGGTATGTGGACACCAGAATTTTAATACTCTAGATGAAATGTAATTCTCATGTGGATTAAACTGGGATTTGTTACATGCTTTGAGGTGGAGGTTGTGAAATGATGGATGCTGCTACTGCGCACTCTCACACTGGTTTGAGAAGTCCTGTTTTTTGTGCTGGAAAGTGAAAAATACTTAAACAGGAGCATGGAGGGATGCAGCTAAGGTTAGCAAGTTTGCTTAGTGAGGTGTGTGCATAAAAAATATTTCTACAATTTCTAAAACAAAAAAACCCAAAACTATTTATAGATGTTAAATATTTGGACATGAACTAGAACCACACCTGCTCTCTACACTGACAACCCTGACAAAGCTGAAGAGAGTAAATCTTTTTTGTTTCCTTTGTTTTCATCCTGTGGTTCATTACATGTTGTGTTAGGAGAGTTCAGTGATTGGATGGCCTGTTCACGGGAACAGGAAAGGCACCTCAAGGACCAAACAAGTGACTTAGATGACTGATGAATTGTTTCTCTCACAGAAAACACTACATCCAAATGAACAGAAATGAATCAGCTTTCTGGGAAGGACCTCCACTAATAAAGAGGATTGGGCATAACATAATGGCCACTAACAGGTAAAATGAATAACACTGATTATGTCCTCATCATGGCACCTGTTAGTGTGGGGGATATGTTAGGGAGCAAGTGAACATTTTGTCCTCAAAGTTGATGTGTTACAAGCAGGACACTTGGGTAAGTGCTAAGTATTTGTATATGTGTGCATGAGGGTGGTAATGCATGTTTGTGTCTGTGTGTACCTGTTTGTCTGCGTCTATATGTCAGGTCGGGTCTTACACTCCACCTCTCTGGGAACTCCCATGCCCTCCAAAGTATGGAGGCCCATCCCCCCTCACCACACTCCCTACCGGTAACTGATGCCCACAGGGATCGGTGCGTTGGTGGTTCTTGGTGTCCGGGGCTAGGCGCTCAGGTATGTACCAGCTCACTCCCGGTGACTACTTGGCGGGCCTGGCGCCTGTTGCTCGGTCAGGCCTCTTCCAGAGCAAAGGAGGCCCTCGGGCTTCCGGCCTATGGGCCTGCGGCTCGGTTCACTTTGGCACAGCTGGCTGCCGGCCCCTCTGGCTTCTGCTCCATGGCTACTGGGTGACCCCTCATCTAGGGCTTTCCTCAGCTCTTCCCAGGAGGGTGGCACGGATGCCCCTCCGGTGGTCCTCCTTGGGCTCTCGCACTCTGGGGCCTCTGGATGTCTGGGGCCTGGATCTCCTCCATGCCTGCTTCATGCCCTGGGGGACGGGGCTATGGCTCTCTACACCTCTAGCAGACCATTACATGGGGAAACCTTTTGAATACAAGCGCGCTGATCCACACAGGTGTGCACACGGGTGTTCACTGTTCATAGACATAAACTACACCTTTATTGGCTGCTATTTCCAAGCACATTGTGCGCTGTCGGTCCTGCTTGCTACACAACAACATTCAATATTTAGTATTTACTGCTGTTTACACTTAGCTAGATTAACGTGATGGTGTTGTGTTTAGTATGTTGCTCTGTTTTTTTGCTTGTTTTCTCTTCTTTTTCTCTCAACAGGTGATCCAGGAGATTTTTTTCTCTTCTTTCTCTTTTTAAGTGCCCTTTCTCACTGTCCCTCTTCCCTTCTGTTTTTCTTTTCCTTCATCTTTCTTTCTCCCTTTCCTATCCCTCAGTCATGTCTGTCCCGTCTGTAACAACTGAAAATAAAATAAAATAAATAATAACAACAAAGGTCGATCAAATGGACCAATACGGCAAGGCCGTGATGATCCATTTGGCAAAGTAAAAAAAAAAAAAAGAAAGAAAAAAAGGAAAGATCATCTCTGAATCGAGGAGGGGGCCTAAGGGTACATCTTTCACCATCTTAAAATGCTGTGATTGCAGCCATTCCCCACCTCTCTGTGAATGGTACTCATGGCCACTGATCAATGGGCTGTGATCAGTGGTTGCTGATCAGTGGTCATGAGAATTTGCATAATTATGATGAAGTGGTGCTAGTTTCAGTCATTACTCAAGTGTACTGTTTATAAAATTGAGGAAACCTACAGTCAGCTGAGGCTGAAGAAGTCACTTGGATGAGTGATGAACTGAAAACACTACGTCCATATGAACAGAATCAACTTTTATAACACATAAAAACAATAAAAAATAAATAAATAAATTAAATTTTATTTTAAAGTCACATTAAAATCAAGGCCAGCTCTGTTCTGGGATGCACCCTGGACCCAGTGCAGGTGGTGGGAGACAGAAGGACTCGGGCCAAAATAACATCTCTGATGTACAGGTGTTCTGGGCATGTCCCATCAGGAGGAGACCCCGGGACAGACCCGAGATTATTTCCTTTGGCTGGCCTGGGAACACCTTGGTGTTACCCCAGACAAGCTGGAGGAGGTGACTGGGGAGAGGTCTGGGATTCACTGCTTAGGCTGCTGCCCGCGAACCGGCCCTAGAACGGGGTGGGCAATCTCAGTCCACGAGGGCCGGTGTCCCTGCAGGTTTTAGATGTGTCCTCGAACCAACACAGCTGATTTAAATGGCTAAATTAGCTCCTCAACATGTCCTGAAGTTCTCCAGAGGCCTGGTAACGAACTAATCATGTGATTCAGGTGTGTTGACCCAAGGTGAGATCTAAAACCTGCAGGGACACCGGCCCTCGTGGACTGAGATTGCCCACCCCTGCCCTAGAATGTGTCCATTTAATCAGAGAGCAGGGGACCTGAGATGGCATATTTCTGATTTCATGGCGATGTAACAGGCAAATTTCAGCCCTCAAAACTCCTCATAATGTGCAGCTCACAGCCAAACGCACACCTGCTGTTCATTTATCTGAAATGCACCACTATCAATCAGCTGTAATTTGCAGATTGAATCATTGCATGTCTGGAATATCCCGCAGCTGAATTCTCCTATCCATTCATCCCACACAACACCAATCACAACACTGACACGAGCGGGGGAATGAGGAACAAACAGGCGCAGCGACAGAAACGAGATTAGAATGACGAACATTAGTGCAAACATAACGGAGCAGAGAAAGGACTAGGAGAGTAGATGATGAACGCCGATGACTAATGAATGATCGCGGGCATGCTTACTTTTGTTTTGCAGGTTATGATGATTATACGGCGCTGGCACTGATAATGCACACAGCAAACCAGGGATCTTATTTGTGTTATGGTCATTGCTATGGCTGTTTGTCTTATTTCTGCTGATGAGGTCCCGCAGGAAAATGGCCTTTTCTAGCTTGGCTTATGAAATCCACAGCTGCTGAAGATCATTTATTGCACTGCAGCAGGAAATAAACAAACCACATGCTGCATATTGTTTGTGAATATGTTGTTATACATGAAAATATGTGCCCTTTATCTGATGGCAAATGCAGGATAGGAGCAATTCACAGGCAGACTCATAGGTGCATGTTTAAGTGCAAAACAGCTGCACCAATGTGTGATTCTGGTCAGTTTGGACAAGTTTACACTGACATATAAGGAAAGAAAGTAAACTTTATCACCATACTTGTTTTTTTGGACTGTGTGTGTGTGTGTGTGTGTGTGTGTGTGTGTGTGTGTGTGTGTGGGCTAGTACTGTAACAGCAAGAAGTCCGCCTGCTGGGGCTTTTCTGTGTGGTGTTTGTATTCCCCCCCCGGGCTTCTCTTCAGGTACTCCAACTTCCTCCCACAGTCCAGAGACATGCTTGCAAGTTTACATGACAAAATAAAAACTCTACGTACTTAGTATTTAAAATATTGAGTAATTCTGAACGGTCTTTAATATTTTAAACAACTAATGGTAAATCGGTTGGTTCATATGCAGCGCTTTTCTACTCTGGGCACTCAAAGCACTCTACACAACTTGCCATTTTTTTTGCTAACATCATTTTTAGATGATGTCCAAATGGAAGAAAAGGTTTGCCAGGTCATGTGATGGTTTAAAAACCATTTCAAGAGACTGTGCAGACTTAAATATAGTTACAATCACATTTTAAGTCCAAGCATAAATTATTAATAGCCTAAACATGATGTACAAAAACAAAAACAAACAAACCCCATTACGTAGGTACTTGAGACCATCCATTAAAACAGTATGGCTAACAGATATTGACAGGTTGATGAAGCACAATACATTACCTGGTAAAATGCTCTCAATTTCAAACACTTTAAAAACACCAATTTCAGTTTTACAGTAGTTTGTAATATTTCACTTCTTTAAACGCAGATGTTGTACTTCGGTCAATTCATCTACATCCAAATGTATACACAATAGTAAATACATAAGTAATATATAAGAGCAAATATGGCCAACGTGGCTACAACGAGCTTCATTGTACGGTGGCCCAGAAAGAACATCAACCTAATAAAACACCAACTAACAGAAAAATACTGCTAGTTCACAAAACACAAAAGAAGTGGAAAAAAGAAACAACATAAGCAGTTTGTCCATGTCCTCCTGGACAGACTCACCTTTCCCTTTTTCTCTTCCCTGTCTTTGTGAGTGAGAGTGTGTGTGCACGCTTTTGTTGCAGTTTTTTCTAGGGATCTCCGCCCTGCTAATCACACACCTGGAAGACATTCCTTATTACGCAACTGCACACTGTTGAACTGATTGGGCCTCCACTATAAGACGCTGGTGTTTCCATCCAATCAATGCCAGAATGTTACGCCGCATGTGGTAAACATGTGTGGATCTCGCAGTAGGCACAGTCTGGTTTACTCACCATGGGCTCCTTTGTTCAGACACCTGCTGCCGTCAAGAGAAAACTCATTTAGGAGAATTTTGGAAGGGAAAAAGAAACCTGTGACAATCGCCTGTCTACAATCCCAAAAATTGACTCAAAGAAATACTTTAAATAAAACATCCTTTTTAACCCTTTTAATAACCCTACGTCTGTGTCCAGGCGTCGACACAGAGCTGAACAGGGAGACAATAATGTAACTGAACAGAAATGGAGGATTCATTGTTGCTGAGAGGGATTTAAAAAAAAAAAAATCACTAGATTCATATAATTCTGTAGTTACATGTTTGCTTTAGTCACCTCTGGACTTTTCTACCACTGCATTTGACCTCTCAGGCCACTGAGCGTTAACTTTGTATCAGAAATAATCAATTCTCTCATTATTTGCATGGACTTTACCTGCTGTAACACCTGCAGGACCAAACTGTAGTCACTACATCATCTTTAGCAAAACAGAAAACAGGTCTCAGATCTGTCCACCTTTCACTCTCAGATGGCACAAATATAAGGGTTACAGTGGTGAGGACAGCTAGGCTTTATGGCTACAACGAGCCTCCACACATTCATCCAGAAAAGTTTTAACCATTAACAGTCTAATAACTGGCAGCTTTTACCCAAGTCATTAAATCATGTTGGCTGCACTGAGCAAGAAATGTAAACACACACATATTTGAAACTTACATTATACTTAGAGAAAATAAGCTTGCCAAAAGGGGTTAAACTCCAAGCACACTGCTCTTTACTTGTACTGTTGCTAATGGTTCAAAATGCTGCTGCACGACAAAAGAGAGCACATAACTCCCATCCTGGCTTCACCACATTGGCTGCCTGTATATCTTAGAGGTCATTTTAAAATTCTTATGTTTGTTTTTTAAATGAATCTGACGCCCCCTGGTTTCTCAGGTCAGCTGACAAGCTGCTCCTGGAGGTACCCGGGTCCAAGAGGGAACTCAGAATAACCTGCCCCTGCACATTAGACAGCCCCCTCCCCGCCTTTTAAAATGTAATTTAATATGCTTATCATTTTTTATTTGTCAAGTGTACAGCACTTTGTTTCTGAAAGTGCTATATAAATTGCTTGCTTGTTTGCTAATCTGAGAAAAGGGGACGGTTGATGCCGTGACTGAGTTAGTCTTCTTCTTCTCATATCTTGCTGATATGAATTAAAATTTGTTCCTAAAGCACAAGAATGCCTTCACGTTCTCTTCTCCGTTCTTACGTATGTGTTCGATCTCCAGCGATACATAAAATGTGATCAAGTGGAACTGTGATGTCCACCTTGGCTACTGTATTCAAGATGGCAGGGCCATGTGACGACTTCCACAAACCAGCTTCCGCTCGTATTTATGTTTAATGGATTAATTCTCAGTTTGTTAGAAGGCATCAATTTGTTGAAAGATGTAATTAAACACTAATCAGTGTATATTTATGAGCACAATATTCAATATAATATTTAAACTTAAATGTCTAAATGTGACCCAAAAACAATGAGTATATTGTTACTTTCATCACACATGTAACAGTAACTTATTAAAAAACAGTTAATGAAAACATATGTTCCTAATTTCCAAGAAAATGTCACTAATTTATTTAAGGTGGGAACGCTATTGCAATTCAGTTGTTAGCTAAGCTTGAGGAAAAACTATACGGCAGGCAACGTCCACCACAGTGTACCATGATTTTTGCATAAATATGCATGAATACAATTAAGTTTTCATTTTTTGGCACAGTGTCTTGTCAATAATGATCGCTGATGTGTATTTACTCTTACTTGGGCTCACATATTGGACACAAAGGTAAAATTTCAACAGGGTACCATATAGGGTACAATATAGAAGGATGGCTAAAAATACCTTCTGTTCATGGCACAGACAGACAGATATCCACACAGATGCTTTTATCCATCTCTCAAAGATGGAAAAAGACAAACACAAAAATCTACTTATATCTCTCCAGATGTGTATTGATCTTTCCATTCATAGTAGATGGATGGTTAAATAGGAATGGATATCCTTGAGAGAGATAAAAAGATATAAAATCTATATTATAATGTCTGTAATGTAATTGCACAGCAAGGGTTAATCTTAGCAGCGGATTGTGTTTGCGTAGCACGGATATTTATAGTGCTTGGACCAAAAATTATGAATTAAAATGTTTTGATTTATTTAGCAAATGCCAAAAATATGTACCATTTCCTGCCCCGATCTTCCTGACCCATTAAGACTTTGAAGGTGGAGCACTTCATGGAAAAAGCTGCAGTGTCTGCAGAAACAGATCATCAAGCAAAGTGTTTAAAAAAAAATGCGAAACCCATTGAGAAAGTGTTAGTTATGTGCGATTCGTTCTTGATTTTGGGCTCCGTGAGGCCGGCGCGCATGGATGTCACCGAGCTGCGAGGATTACTGACAGGTGGTGTCACTCCTACGCGCTGCGAGTTGCTCAAGCAAGCAGTCAGATGGCATGTTGTAAGCTGTGTCTGGCAGGAATGGTTGTTTAGGAGACGCTACACACCTCCCATCAGTTCCTCCTTCACTTAACAGGACTTCACATGCTCTACCTTTAGGAAAAAATGGAAATGATAACGAACTGATATTGTGTTTTTATATTTACTGTCACAAAAAGGAAATGATAAGTTTGTGTAAAGACTAACAAAAACAGAACAGCGAGGCCAGAAATCACTGAGCAAAACACCGTTGACAACATAGCCATGTAATTACTGTGAGCTGAGAAAAAATGTGCACAGTTACAGTATGTACATCAAATCCCCAGAGGGTCGGGATCTGCAGCCACGACTCAGTCCTCAGTACAACATGCAGTCTGAAACAAACAAGGAAGTTATGGATTGTGCTGTATTATGTACGTGTTTCACAAAATCAACAGAAAGCAACGTGACAAAAATAGTGGGACGATGTAAACTGTTCTAATACATTCCTCGATAAAAAAAATCACTACAAAAGCCTGGAAACCTTTGTACTAAGGTCACACAATCTCTCCAGTTTTTGTCGGAAATATGGCATTTTGAAAATGTGTAAATGCACACGTTGATAAAATAGTTTGATATTTTGGGAAGTCCTTTTATTTTTGCATTTTCTTTAGAGGATTAGCCTAGCTTAGCGGTAAATTGCAAGCATTGCTTTGAACAAATATGAAAATAATCCATGTACTAGCCTCAATAGCCCACAGAGTAACACAAAACATCACTCATGACCTAATTTGTTCACACAAAAATGTTAAAATGACAATTTTATTGCAGTGGTTGAAGTGGCGTGATGTGTTAGCATCAGAAATACGATTAGGGCTAGTTCTTCCAACCTTTTAAAAAGCTTTCATTCATGGCACTAAATGAGAAAATAAAGTTATTTCTAAAATGCAGTACTGGTTCTATTCCTGTTATTTAAAATTGGGTTCTGAAAATTAAGCTAAGTTGATTGGATATTGGTATTTATACTCAACTTTCTGAGTCATCATCAATGACATGCGATAATTCTAACTCTACTTTTACAGAAATACTACATGTTGTGTCAGGAAGGTCATTATTGTTCCCGACTGCAAAGACATGGCTCTGTTTTGATATCATAGAGTAACGTGTTATAGTTACTTTCCATCATCAACAAGAACTTACAGGATAGAAATGAGCATAGCATTAAACTATTTGATTAGCAGAAATGCTAACAAAGATTTTGGTCAGTAGGATCAGCAAAAACTTACTGAACTTTTTAAGAAAGTAGTATTTCCATTAAATTTAAATACAATTTGAACTGAAACCAAATGATCTCAAGTCTAGGGAACATTTGAACAACGGCACAGGGACAACAACACACGGTCCAGCTCCTGTAACCTTGGTACAACTTCTAGATTGAGCTTGTTGACCACAGACTCTGTTTCTATCGTCTTGAAGCAACTGGAACTAAACACTTAACGAGCTTTGGCATTTTGGGAGAAACAAAAGTGCACAATTGTAAGGAAAAGGGGTATGCTGGATGTATATAATACGACAAACAAAGGGCATCATGAAAAATAACAAAACTGGGTGCAGCCTTATTGTTTTAATGTCATTTTATCTCAACTAGGCTTTTGTAATATCACATTTCCCAAAATATCACAACTATTCCTTTATGGCTGATTTCATACCAAATAATTTCCTGCCTGGGCAAAGTCTGTTTAGTCTGGGTGCATGGGATCTTACAGGTCCGCCTTTGTCCATGTGCAGATATAAGGAAGGTTAGCGCTGTCATAATACTACAAACCTTTACGATTAAATTTAATAGTGTGGCCACATGTTATACTGAAATTATAGGGGAAGGTTTCAGCAGCTCATCGAATCCAACTTAAATCATCTTTTGGAGATGCAGTGCTGCAAAAGTGTGTTTCAGTTTGTGTGATAGAGTCGCAGGTGATCACAGGGCTGACTTCACATGCAAGTCTTTGTAAGATGCATGTTCTGCAGGTAAATCCTTGTGGCTGTGCATGATTCTTTCTGCACGTATCATGTTAAAAAAGCGTTCAGGACGTTACCGTGTCGGGTTGGCCACACAAGGCTTCTCTCAGTCATAAACCAGAATCACATGGGCTTAAAAAAACACAGTGCATTAATGAACATAATAAAGCCAGTAGATGAGGTTGAAGAGGGAGAAGGCAGAGGGGAATATAATCCGTGACCATCTGTCGATGGCATTCACATCAGTGAGGTCTGGGATTTTGATTTTGAGCTGCGAGGACCGTCTTCGTAGACGGGTTTTCTTAAGATGTGCGTTCCTGTCCAGGCTGTGGCGGCCCAACTCGCGTGACCCGCTTGGCTTTCTGTACTGGATAGCTGAGTTGTCGAAGACCATGGAGGACGAGTTGTGGGTCTCGCTCAGACTGGTTGTTATCTCGTTCCCTCCCACCTCGTTGTGGATCTCCAAGGTTGTCAGCAAAATGTTCCCCTGGGAGTCGACCTAGGACCGACAAACAGCAGCGATGTTTAAAACAGGCTACAGCGACTGACGACACATGTGCAGCACGCGTCGGTTCCCCGGGGTCGGTCTCCTCTCGCAGGCTGACAGCCTGGGAACCAGAGCGACCTTCAAAGGCAGGTTTTTCTGTCCCAAAATTAAACGTCTTCTCACAAATCAGCTCAAGGTTGGACTGGCCGGCTTTAATACTAATGTAGTGACAACTATTGCTTCCCACACAAAAACAGATATATCATTTAGACCAGTTTAGGCACAGGATGAACACAGATATAAAAAGGTGACCACAAGGCATGAGAGGAGGTGAAAAAGTGAATATTTGTCTTCTTATTTTTTTGGCTGTGGTTTCACAGATCAACCTCGAATCCTGTAAACTAATTTAAAATGTAACTCGTGATTCTTCATGTTTTCTATGCGCCGCCGAATTAGTGCAGTGTAAAGGTAATCGCCTAATGACATTAATGATGGTTGGAATGGTTTGATTGCACTTACTGGATAGCATGTTAGCAACACAGACATATAAAGACATTAAAAAAGGGCAAAAATACGACAGTGGGAAAGGCGGGCTAAGCAGAATGTACTCGTACGGTGAGGTGTTTAGAGAAATGGCTGTGATGACGTGTTACTTTGTTAAATGAGGTCAAACTTTGCACTGCAGCAGCAAAGTTTCAGCCAGAGGTTTCACAGATGTAACACAACAGGCAGTGACAGACACTCACCCGTCGTGAGTGACGACGCCCTTGTACCTGATTGGACAGTTTAAGAGACGAAGACTTGCAATTGCCTCCTTCCAGAATGGACTAGCCAGGAAAAAGACAAACACAAACCCTTTTGTCTGAGATTCGGTCACCTAAGATGCTCACAGAACATCGGAGTCAGGAGTCAGAAAGTCACTCAGTGTGGACTGGTTAAAGCTGTGACTGATGATTAATTAAAAAAAACATCTGTAGGATGTATTGATCCAGTCACATTAAAAATCATTGTCTCCCACCTTATCCCTCAGAATCTGCTCATCTTTATCCTTGATTTGAAGATCATCCTGGCATCAAATGTAGGTAAAAAGGAGATCTTTCATAGTGTAAATTGTTCTGATCAGCCAGAAATTCCACAGGCTATTGAAAGCCATGGTGTTAAGCCAGAATGCAGTTTTTGAAGTTTTCTTCAGTGAGTTATCAACCCCAGTGCTTGTTTCTACTAAAGCTGAGGTCTTGGCTTTGTACTGTGACTCTTAGAGCTGATTTGGGTGAAAATGTCTGAATTAATGATATTATGAGGAAAATGGTGTAAAATCTCTGAGGAGATTAAAGTCTGAATACATTCATAGTATGAGATATATGGCTTCATTAAATATGCTAAAGCTAAATGTGCACAAAAGACTCTCAGGGTTCAGGTGGGAATCTTTTCAGAGATGGGTTTTTATAAAGAGTTACCCATATTTAAAGGGTGTTCGAAGCACAATTTTTGCTGCCGTTAATAGACGGATAAACATGACGTCATCTACAGTACTGCTAGGGGTGGATCTGAACGCATGGCCACTGGTTTGTGACCAAGCAGTAACAAGGCAGACACATCCTAAAGCACACCCTGATTAATCCTCTACATGTTCCAGTTCAAATACAGAGTTTCAAGGAATACTTGACCTGAGAATTAAGACTGTAAAAATGTTTGCTGGAGTCAAAGATCAAGACGGAATTCGGATTCTTTTCACACAAACTGCTGTACGACTGGTCTTCTTATTGCAGTTAGCAGCTAGAGATACTCCCGCACAGTTAAATAGGTAACTTTCAGATAGTGATGACACCTATTTAAATAAATCCCTGCTTGAAATGGAATCCACAAAAAAAACAACCTGAATCACGATAGCGCTGCATCTTGGCACCGAAGAGCCAAAACATAATGACTACAGATGAATTACTGCAATAATGTTCATTATCATTATTGTAACAATGCTGCATGGTGACTTTTCCCAGCAGCGGTTTTAATGTAACGGCTAGTTCGTGTATATTTGTGTGATGTCCGAGGAGAATTGCTCCACATGGTTGATTTAACAGCTATAAGCACTAAAAGTTGTTAAATTCCAGCCTTGCTTGTTAAAAGAAACACCGCAGTTGTTTTTTATGAACCTTCTTGGTGTTTGGAAATAATTCTCACCTTGGGCCTGTCAAATTTACTGCGGTCATTATTTGCCTTCTGCGCCCTTTCTGCCAGCTTTTTCTGCATCTGAGGACCTCGGCCAAAGAAGATGTAGTTGACAAAGGCATATTCCAGCAGAGCCAGGAAGACGAACACGAAGCAGCCCATCAGGTACATGTCTATGGCTTTGACGTAGGGGATTTTGGGCAACGTCTCCCTCAAATGGGTGTTGATGGTTGTCATGGTCAGCACAGTGGTGATCCCTGGAAGAAAAAAAAATCTGTTTCCACAGTACTAAAGGAGGGCTGAGAACCGATCTCTAAAATGACCATATCCAGATGAATACCATGAACCCGATTTTTTGTTTTCTGAGAAGCTAAACGTCGTCTGTTTGGATGATGTTGAATATTCTGAACTTGGATGAATTACAACTCATATGACAAGCGAACAGACTCAACAAACACACTGTAAACTCTCTCAGTAGTTTGCGCCATCTACAGTAATGCTCTGTGTCTCCATGAAGGCTCACCGACCTGGACGGTGTGTCTATTTCTGTCGATTCAGGCTTACATAATTAAAACAAAAAATGTTGCACTGTATGGAGTGTGTGGGGGAGTCAAGAGCGCCAGTGGGTACATGGCATCGATTTCTGCATAACAAAGGGACGAGCAAGATTCTGAACACTCTGAGAGCTCAGAGGAGATGGTTACTCAACAAACCCCTTGAAATACTGCACAGTGCTGTCCCTGAGAACACAGCAGGTAAAAGTAGATGGACAAAATAAGAAGTGATAATCATACAAGATGATAACAGTTGCTGTACACTATTGTTCATGTCACAGGGGTAGGAAAGTAATGGTGAAAAAAAAATATTTACATCACTGGACTCCTCAAGATGGCATCTGCCCCTAATAAACTATTAAATGTGGCAAAACAGGAGTGTAATTTGAACAGATGATTTTAAAATCCTGTGTTTGCTCAACTGAGCTCTAGTTCTGGTGTTATGTTAAATCCCAAAAAACTGGCTAATACAGACCCGATCAAAAGTTTAAGATCCCTTGAAAAATGGCAAAAAATCATATTTTGCATGTTTGGATCTTAACAAGGTTCCAAGTAGAGCTTCAACATGCAACAAGAAGAAATGGGAGTGAGACATAACATCTTTTTGAGCATGCAATTTATTGAAAACAACGCTTCAACTGCAACATGCTGTTTTACAGCTGATCAAAAGTTTAGCACCACATGCCTTTAAAAAGCCAAATCTGTGCAAAAATGTGGATTCATTGTCATTTTCTGACATGTAGTAACACTGTCATGATGATCTGTTCACAAAGGCAAAAAAATGTTTCCTTTTTTGAACATGGTTGGGTTGTTGAACTGCATAAGTAGGGTCTCTGGCAGTGCGGCATCGCTGCTGAGGTAGGACACAGTAAGACAGTCATTTGGAATTGCTTAAATGATCCTGAGGGTGATGGAACAAAAAGTCAAAATTTCATCAGCACTGAGCCAGAGGATCTAATTGGCTGTCCGTTAAGCACTGGACAATCCTCAACCCAAATTAAGGCCGTTTCTGGTGTCGACTGCAGCCCCATAACCATCAAACGGCATCTGAGACTGAAGGGCTTCAAAAACAAAATACGTCTTCAAAGGCCTCATCTCCTTAAACGCCACAGAACTGACCATTTGGACTTTGCAAGAGAGCATCAAACATGGGACATTGAAAGGTGGAAGAAAGTTTTATTGTCTGATGAGAAAAAACGTAACCTTGATGGTCCTGATGGTTTCCAACGTAACTGGTATGAAAGGGAGATCCCACCTGAGATGTTTTTTACGTGCCACAGTGGAGGGGGCGCCATAATGGTCTGGGGTGCTTTTTTCCTTCAGTGGAGCTTCAGGAGGTGCAGGGGCGTTAAAGAGCCACTGGCTATGTCCAGATGTTGAAGAGAGCATCCCTCATGAGTGAGGGCCATCGTCTGTGTGGTAACGCCTGGGTTTTTCAACAGGACAATGCTACAGTACACAACGCCCACAGTTTTAAATCCCATTAAAAACCTTTAGGGATGGATGGCAAGAGAAGTTTACAAAAATGGACAATGGAGTTCCAGATAGTAGATGTCCTTCGTGCGGCCGTCTTCACCGCTTCCAGAAATGTTCCCACTCACTTTGTGGAAACACTCACATCAAGCATGCCGCAACAGATTTTTGAAGTGATCAACAGTAACGGTGGAGCTACTCATTACTGAGATCCTGTTTGGAACTTTGATTTCTGTTTTGGGGGGTTTACAGGGTATTTTTTTTTGGAGGTGTGGTTCTAAACATTTAATCAGCTGTAAAACAGCCTGTTTCAGTTTAAGCGTTGTTTTCAATAAATTGCATGCTCAATTTTTTTTTGTTTCACTCCCATTTCTTCTTGTTGCATGTTGAAGCTCTACTTGGAACCTTGTTAAGATCCAACCATGCAAAATATGATTTTTTTTTTTTTATCATTTTTCAAATGGTCTGGACTGTTTGAAAGAATCTTTTTAAAAAATGTGTATATCCTTCTGGGATGTGCATATCTTTTTGCATTAAAAGTATATATATTTTACTACACCTTTCTGAATGACTCATAAAACTCCATACGCTTCAGACATGTTTTTCCGCTCCTCATGTATGAAGCCTGTTAAGTAGCCCAGCTAATTTGGTTTTGCTCAGGATATTCACACCACCCACCAAAGAGAATGGAGACCTGTAATGAATCACCGTTGATTGATTTTGTAAAGCACAGGAGTAGGGATGCGTTCTAACTTGCATTGATCTGACAGCATCCCAGATAGCAGTCTTCTCAACGATGGAGGCGTTACGGCGGAGTGAGCCGACTCGTGCGTTAAATGACGAGGTCTGAGCCAGCACAGGGGCTTCCAAATCCAGCTTCCCACCAGACTTCCTAAGATGTACTACATTCATCTAATCACAGCGTATGCTCAAGTGAGATTTTATTATTGGTACGTTAATGTGCTCTTCTTTACGCAGACTTGACTGAGAGTGCACCAAAGCTGATTGAGGATTTCCATTAAGGCAAATATTCTAGCAGCGATCAATGCAGTTAGGGAGGTATGGTGTTATACAACGGTGAACTTTTTCAGCCCTAGAAGCCAGTGGAAAGTGTGAGTCTTGAGATCCAGTTGAGTCTCCTATTACACCACAATGCAGAGGCTTCAAACAGAGTGAAGGAAACGCACAGCTGTGATTATTTGTTCTTCTTGAATCTGTTGTTTATCTGTTCAAATGTGGCACGTGGGAGGAACTCACCAGTTTAGTTTTGAATGCATAATGCCTCACCAGGACTATTCTTCTTTGTTAGTGCTACTACATAATCTTTGTGAATGCTTTCTTTTACATAAATATTCTTTAAACAAACCAATTTTTCATTCCCACACAAGCCAATTCTTTGAATATTTTCGCTTTCAAGATTCATCTGGTCCTACATTTGACACATTTATAAGTCAGACGGATGGATACTGAATGCATAATGTTGATGTAAAATAACTGTAAGTAACCAGTCACAAATCCATCCTCTAATTACAGAATCGCCACTTTGATAATGTCACAGTTTAGTGTTACTTTCTGGTTTCCAGCTTTGGCACAGAGCCGGTCACTGTTCACAAGTCTTAGAAAACACACAGAGTGCGTGTAGATTAAACTACAGTCCAGAGGTCAACTCACTGCATTGGAAAAATCATACCTAATGCAACTCTGGCAGCTGAGGCGTCATAATTTATCCAGAACGACACCCAGGACAAGATGGTGATGAGGATGGAGGGCATGTACGTCTGCAGGATGAAGTATCCGATGTTTCGCTTCAGCTTGAAGCTCAGAGACAGTCGAGGGTAGGCACCTGCAGGACAACACATCAGGTAAAAATCAGGGCTCTATAATTCAGGAGAAACATGGGGATGCCTTCCACTTTGATTTGGTTTCTGTGGTGATGAGCTCATCAACTGTATTTACACGAGAACTGCAGGCAAAAACGAGACACTGTCCACATTCTCACATGATGCAAACAAACAAAACTTTGGGGAAAAGGGTGGGTATTTAAAAATCCTACATTGCCACGTTCTCAAGTTATTGCATTTACAAACCTACTGGTCCATGTCCCCCAACAATACCCCATCAGCCTTTTACGGCTGAGGGGTAAAAGTTATGTGCCAATATGTGTGCACATTCTTAAAAGGTTATATGTATATTAATTTTTAAATATCTCAAAACTTAGACAGAGATTTCTACATAAAAGTATTTGTACACAAACACACAGTGTATATGTACAGATAATGATAATTTAAAACACGCGCGCGCACACACACAATAAGAGGATGTTGAGAAGAAGTTAAAAGCATCTGCAGACACTCCATTTATTAGAGTTTATTGTATCAGAATGTGACAGTGATCCTAATGAGCTCTAATAGGTTTCTCTACATTATCTGTATAGAAACGCTCGGACAGTAGCCATCCTACATGTCATTAATTCAGCAGTGAGGATAATCACTGTTGTGATGCCTCTGAGTTGTTGCTGTATTATAGGAGAATAATTCATGCTGCCAGCACTCTGCCTCATGAATGCATTATTTTGCTGTATGCAACAGTCCCCATTCTTTATCAACAGCATCAATCAGTGCATCTCTTAATTTCAAGCAATGGGAATATAAAGTTTAACAGATCTGGTCATTGCATGAAGGACAGTTTATCATCCTGACTCGGCTCAGATACATAAAAAGAAAAGTGAGTCAACACCACAAAAAGCAGGTTATTTTCTACTTTTTTAGGGCCATTAGTAGCACTAAGACCCTTCACCCGCTGTACCATTACAGGCATGTTTGAACTAAATAGACTCAGTCCAGGTTCTTGTCTAAGTGTAATCGAATGCATCATGGGAGACTGCAGACATTCTCATGTCAGACTTAATTTAGTTCCAAATTCTCAACCTGCACTCTGTGTGTCTTCAGCCAGAGTTACAAACTGGAGGATCATTTTAAACAGGTATGTGTTTAGTAGGCAGCAGAACTTTTAGTACAAGAGACGTCCAGAACCTGCAAACACCCACTTCCACCTATGGGAGGAAGCAAGCAGTCCTTCTGCAGCAGCGTGCAGCTCCATCTAGTTTTAAAGCAGCAGTTTTATAGAATGCACCGAAAAAAAACAGCCAGTCATGAATTAATATACTGGGACGTCTCAAGATTGACGACAGGTAACAGAACACAACCTCGGCAGAGTCTTACATCTCTGCAGTTCAGGTGACAGATTCATCTGTGACGCTGCACATGTTTTAAAGTCTTATTCTTCTGTTTAAATCTGGGATCACTGATTATTGGATGAAGTGCAAGAATGCATCTGAATGCATCTTGATGGAGGCGTGTGAGACGTGCTGCTTTTACATTGTTTGCTGAGCACACGTTGTGCCAAACTCTTAATACAAGGTAAGGTGCTTTTATCTCAGTTATAAGCTATTTTCACTGAGGTTATTTAATAATCAGGGACAACAGATCTGAACTGATTTCTGGTGAGGTCAACTGAACGCGAGCATGCGCCCTCTAAAATGTTCTTTCATGGATTCAAGAAGAAACACTAAAAATGTGAGTGCCATAACTTGCCTGTGGAGAAGACTACATTCCTGGAAACCAGTTTGTAGTCCACTATGGAGAACTGAGGGAGCTCAATGCGTTTTACCCCGGTCACAGCAGTTTCTCCTCCTTTCCAGTAAAACTCTATATCATCTGTTGTGTAACCATCTGCAAGAAAACAAGTCACATGATGTGTCCTTAACAGTGGAAAAGCTCTGAAAAGTGAATCTGTCTCATTTCACTGGATGTATTTTTATATCCTTAAGAGAAATCAGGACGCCCGGTAGCTGTAACTGATTTAGAGTAAGTCTCATGAATCACACAGATCCTGTAAGTGCTGATTGCATGAGATGTGAATCTTCATGGGGATGTGTGTCAGTGCAGACAGACAGGCTGATACCAAATGCATGAGATCCATGACCGCCAAGAGTTTTATGGCAGCACGGACAGCCGAACACGTCATCTAGACTGATGAAGCTGGACTAATCATTACGGTGCTCCACTATGGAAATCACTGTCTGCTCAGCTCAGAACCTCTCCGTGCAGACGAAGTCGTTTAACTGGAGAGGGTGCAGCGAGCAATCTCACTGGGATATGACAGATTAATAAATCCAGAGCAATTCAGCAGCCTGTGCAGTTTTTGTCTCCACCCGATGACTGAACATTTTTTATGAGAATTACGGCGCTGTTCATATTTTTAAGTGATGAAAAAAGTCGGGCTGTCTGCTGTATTTCTTTACAAAGCACAAGATGCAGGGCTTAAACTTACAACTCTCAATTTCCAGAGTGCAATTCTGCTCGTCCAGCGGGTATCGCCTCAGATCCATCATGCAGGCGGCCGTCGTCGTGATTCTGAGTCAAAAGAGGAACAAAAGAGAGGTGACCTCGTTTTAGATTCAGGACAGCTGTTAGAGCAGAGGATGGTTAGGAGAAATGCGTTCCATCTGAAGAAGATTCAAATGGCATCCATTTTTATTATTAATTGATTAAAGGAAGAAAAACAAACTTCCTGCCAATTACTTCCACTCTCATTTCCAGACTCTTCAGACTTGCACATTTACACTGAGGATCCAATTCTGAGTTAGTCCAAACAAATGTATGACAGCAGTTATGAGATGCGACTTCCTGCATTAGCATTACATTGTGTTGCAACTGCAGCTTAAATTGCTTCAACGAAACAAATAAAGCTTTTTGCCACTTCATGAATCTTGGGCAGTTTGGAGAGCTATGCGATGGTGTAAAAGCCAGATGCAGCCAATAAGCACCGGAGATGGATTGGTAATTAATTGCAGAGAGTATTATGTATATTATGAGAGGAAGCCTATCATGTATGAATATTAACAAGAAAAATGACCTCTAAGTCTTTGTCTACAGCCAATATGTTACTAATGTGAAATAACTGACAAATTCTTATATTATTAGAAACATGACAGAATCAGCATGAAGAAATTGATCCCAGCATATGAGCTGATCTCAGTGGTTCAGCCACTGAAATCCTACAAATCCAATCTCTTATACGGTGCATGTGCAAGCCACTGCACAACCCACCCCAGCTGCTTCTTTTCATGCTGTTTCTGACTTAACGTCATATCTGCTGTCACTGATGCAGCTCTGCTCAGTGCTGGAGTCATACTGCTACTCTCCAAAGAGCTGAGAACAGAACTTGAACGCGGTTAAAACAATAGTTTTCCTTTTTCAACAGTGGCTGAAATAAAGGCCGGTTGCAAATAATACTTGGTTAAAAACACCCAGAATCTGGTGGAATTACTGCACTTGAAAATCCAGTCTCTCCTCAATTGAGGAGCCCCACTTTAAATGTCGGTCTTACAGAGATATTTTTTTCAAGACAGGAAGAAAACTGAAGCTTGTATAAACTGTTGAATAAAGAATACAAGCCTACCCTGAAAGGTCAAGCTAAACAGCAGTTCTTACCTGAGGCCGTAGAGAACAGTGCCATCCGGGTGAAGTCGAATCATCCGGTTCTTTACTGTGACACCATGCACAAAGGACTTCTTGTCATTGAGAAAGTAGGTGTCTGGGACCCAGAGCTGGTCTGCTACTCTGTTGTCTAGTGTCAGGTTGAGAGGGATCCCTGCATAAGCCAGCCTCTTATCTCTCCAATACTGCTGGAAGTACATAGTCAGCGTGTAGTCCTGTGAAATGTAAAAGAGCACGGTCATGTAGCTATGCTAAGTCAGAGAAGTGCATAGCATACATAACAGGAGGCAAACACCATCCAAACTGTAGCCAGGATTTCTAAAAAGGATTTCAAGTTTAGCGCTTGATTTGTGCAGCCCGCAGGTCTGGACGGATTTTTTGGTCACAAAAACGATATTTATAGGACTGTCAGTCTGCTCTGGGTGCTCGTATTTCAGGACCTGCCTTAAAAAGAAACTCTTCTCAGCTGTTCTCTCTGCACAAGACTGACACAAGCCCTCAAACTATAGATTTCCATTACTACAAGCCGTGTCAACACCGTGTTTCAGTTTAGTACTGACCACTTTTTTTTTTAGATAGCATTGCATATTACCAGCTATACATACAAAGGCATCCATAATTTATTGAGCGTTCATTTGCAGCTAGCTCCACGAGTTAATCCATCAAACACAAAAGCTTTTTCAGCCCTTTAATGGAGCTCTTTACTATCTCTCTTTGCTGTGTTCTGCTGACTTATGTTCTCGTGAATAAATAAAACAGGAAATAAACAAAAAGTTGTCCACGCTCAAAATGCCTATCCTCCGGTGCAACAACATATTCACAATAAAGTGTTCAAAAATGCGTCGGTGGTATTTTCTCTCTCTACGCTGAACTAATTATTGCTTAGGATGGTCTTTGTGGTGTCACGTTATAAACTGCTGATCTGATCGCAACAGATGAAAGAACTGCGTTTTTTTAACTTTGTATACAAAGTGCAAAGAGACACCTGGGTTTTGGAGGACTGACAAATAATAAGCTTGTTTTGTGTATGTGATTTGACAGTATATTATAATGCAGCATGGATTCCAATGAATAATTCAGCGTGTATGTGTGTATAATCAGAATAGATATTCATTTCAAAGAGCTGCACAGTCGTTACTGTGACTGTGTGAGGCTTTTTCATTTGTTTGCCGTACAGGAAACATTTTTAACTCGTCAGGTTCTGGGTGTAGGTTCTGTAGTCAACTGTGGTGCGTTAGATTTCAGAAAATCCCTGGCTTGCGAATTGACTGTTTTATTTTCTGAGATGCCTTCACCCTCCCAATTCTCTTTCACCCCCCTGCAAACAGAAGATGCCCTCATTATGCTTCCTCCCACAAGCAGCAGAGCTGTGGGATGGGTGAATCAGCTTTACACAACAGCTCTTCTACTACAGCGATGGTGCCCATCTACCAACACGCTCCCTCCATGTCTGGACCACAGCTATTTTAGTCTCTTTGAGATCTTCAGATCTCACAGCTATCCTTGACTACTTTAAACAAGCAGCTCAGAAACAAATTTATACCACATCACTCTCGCTGTACATGCTGTACTGTACGCCCTCGAGCTCCCAGCACCCTGTGTAACCTGCAGGCTCCCTCAGGGATCTATTCTAGGCCTCGGCTAATTCCCCACAGAGGCTCTTCAGTTTGTGTACAGTCAGACAGCCACACTGGAGGGCAGCGTAGTCAACTCTTGTCCAATGAAAACTCAAGAAAGAGACTCAGATGCCAGATCTTGTCACAATTCATTTGTTTGGAGCAAAAAGACTTTGTACACTGTTACAGGCTGGTAGGCCTTCCAAATGTGAAACACCACCAGTGTTTAACTAGTTGTACTTTGTCTCTTTTAAAGATTATCATCAACGGTTATGTTTACATATTACATATACAATATTTAACTAATGAAAAAGATATCAATGTGCCACAATACATGCAACAACTAGTTAAATTCAAGGTTAGAAATCTGATTGTAATTGGATTAATCAATGCATGAGGACTGTGCTTTCTGGCTGCACGGCATGTGGTCGCAATGTAATGGTACATGATTATGTACCATTTACGTATTTCCTTTATGCTGGCAATGTTTTCATTGCAGCATAAGTTTTGATTTTTTTTATTAAACATGTGACCCTTGTCTTCCTTCATCGGTGTCAGTCAGGCCCTCTGGAGAGAAATGTTTCCCACCCTTTGTACAAAGTAGCGACTGTTTAAGCTCTTAAAATCCAGGCTCAGATTTGCCTGTGGAAGCCATCCAAACAGGATGTGACACAGAGCTCCTCATTAATTAGACCTCCCTTAAAAACAGAATCAAACACTGCAAGCAGTTTAAGACTTTACATGTCTGAGGAACGAAATAGTTTCAGTAGATAATTTCTTTTTGGACGATCACGTTCCAGATACCAAAGAAATTTTATCTTTATCTTCCACTTGGTAAAAACTTTGCTGGCCATTCTTTTGTTGCTAAAAATGAGCATATAATTAAAGTTGAACAAGTCATAACATAATTTATATTTTAATCTGAAGACTCACTAGTATAAGATCAATATTGTGAAATGGTTTCAAAATTAAATTGTTAAATTCTAATGCAACTTTACTTATATTTATCTTTATCTTTATCAAACAAAAAGAACTTTGATAAATACATTTCCCAGTTCTATCAGAGGCACTTATGTCCACTAATAACAGATCGTTAGGAAGTTATTTTTTAAGGACGAGTCCCAGCTTTTAGAGGCGAATAGAGATCAAACAGCAACATATATTTGAGGAGGTTGTGGGGTGTGGGGGGGGGTGTGGAGGGAGCTTCGGCAGTTGTCATCAGATAGTAAAAAAAATGGCCACGCTGTACATGAGTAATATGGCTGAATGAATGAGTGGTTGTGCAGCAGGAAAAAGCTAATCAGCTATTGGAAGTGCAGAATCTTATCAGAGTTAAGATAAAAGCAGTTAAAGTAAGCCTGTTTGGTCAGAGGGCCCGGTGGCGCCTGTGTCCGGCAGCCTCGCCTATGTCAGTGCGCCCCAGGGCAGCTGTGGCTACAATGTAGCTTGCCATCACTAGTGTGTGAATGTGTGTGTGAATGGGTGAATGACTGAATGTAGTGTAAAGCGCTTTGGGGTCCTTAAGGACTAGAAAGGCGCTATACAAATGCAGGCCATTTACCATCTGGCCATCTGTTATGCTTTTCCTGGTGGATGCTCGTACTAAGCAAGTGAATGTGAAAGTAATCTCCGTGAGTTCAGACCTCAAACTGCTCTGAAGAGATCCACCTGTCTACTCATCGTTCCATTATGGTGGGCAGTCCACTGGCAGCTTGGACTGCCCTCCACTGCAGAGAGAATCTATTGTCAGATAGGGGCAGTGTCAAAAATTTGTGGTACAACCGGTCTCCATAGGCTACTCCTGCTTTTGCTGTTGGGCCACCAAGCATCTATGGAAAAAGTTCTAACATACAAAGACAGTTAACGGCACTGAAAAGTGTCCACCACAGCCAATGTTGCTACTTTCATTGCTGTTATTTTATTTTAAAAAAAAAAAATCTTTTTTGCGCTTCTCCCTTTCCAGGTGAATTCACTTCCTGGTCAACTTATCAACCAATCAGCATTCAAATGATGCCCAACATCATCCACATAAGTTACTGTGCAGCTGAGATTTTGCACAACTGCACAGATCATGTGTCCAGTGGTTGAAAATCTCACAGGTGGGCTCCCTGTAAGCAAATGCCTCTGGGAATGGACACAAATGCTGTACTTTAAGGTTATGGCTACAAACACATAAGCCCCACCCACATGCTATTCAAACCTTCTATTTGCAAGAAACAGTCAATCATAAGCTACTTTACTAAATCATAAGAATCAATCAGCTTAAAGGACAATACAGAATTACGACTCAGCAATACTGCAGCACTACCTTACTCTACACCACTGCGGTCATAATATGCCAAACACTTTTTCACTGACAGAATCTACCAGCAAAAGTTCTCAAAAAGTTCTCAAAGATCATTCCACGGAGGTTTTCAAAATGTTGGCGTCATACGATGACTCAACTCATGATAAAATTCTTAAAATACCTGCAATGCTTGTCATGTTGGTTTGGGTTTGAAGGGTGCTGTTGTTTGCTGTCAGATATCACGTAGACCACAAGAGACATAAAGGCGCTTATTCTCAGCACCAGTGAGTAAATGAGGCCCGGTGGGAGGTTGAGACTGTTGTGTCACTTTTGGCTCGGAGCGATCGCAGTCTCAAACTCAGACACGGTTAATGTGTGCCAGTCAAACATCGTCTACGTCATCCTAACACCAGGATGTCTGCTGGGAGTGCAGGAATGGCACTCTGAGAATCTCGCCCCGTGCAATCGGGGGGCTTTTCATCACTCCATGAGACAGTTAGATGTTCCCAGTAGGTTTCCAAAGTGTGCTAGATGTGTTTTACAAACTATCCATTTAATAGTTTCATCCTCTGTATCCTCCCACGCTGTAGCAAACAAGCCGTTCATTAAATGATTTATTCGTTGTGCTGTCAAAAATCTTGTACTATTACATTATGAAAGAAAAGCTGTTAAATAGCTGCTTTTGTGGAGGGGAGATATAACCATGCTTTAAGTCATTTAAGTGTCTTTGGTGAACGTGTAAGGCCTAAAAACATAATGGATCATCCCAACATACATCTCCAATACATCAATAATAGACAATTAAAGGCAACAAGCACAACAAAGAGCCAGAAATGTATTAAATCACACAATGTGTTTTATGTACGTTGTGTAAATAAAACACAACAGAGCACAACAACATCGACATATTATGAAAGTGATCTGAGCATACAGCAGAAATGGGGTATTAGTGACTTCCCACCAGATTTAGCTTTAAGTTTAACTGCCTTTTGATGCTGGCCAGGCAGCATAAAATGATTTTTTCACAGTAATGTGCAGTTGCAGCTGAAAACAAACGGTGAAGGCAGAAAACAAAGTTTTATACATGTGATCGCTTCATCGTCCTGGGATCACAAATGAAAAATAAAAATATGTAGGAATTTATAAAAGCAGGAAGTAAAATCCAGGCAGGAATCATGAGAAAAGGATCTATCGAAATAAAACGGGAAGCAAAATAAGACATAAACAAGAAGACAGCGAAACACAAGGGATCACAGAAGCATACAGCACATGGACAGGACAGAGGGAAGCAAAGGCAGGGAAACAACAATGA